ATGCATACTTGTAATGAGTAGGCTTAGATTGAACTTTAATATAGATTAAAACCCGAACATCTTTAGGCTACTTTAGTCAAATACACTTCTTTTAAAATAGATTGTGGGCGTGCCATCTGTTGATACCCAATTGTTCCCAAATAATATTTCAAATTGCATATATGTCTTCNATCTATTTATAAATATTTAATGTAATTATATTATTTTATAAAATATTAAAAATTAAATACTCATGGGACTTGCGCCCCATGCCTCGTGGCTTACGCCTCGCTGAGGCATATGTAAAATGCCTCGCCTTACGCCCACCCCTTTTAAAACATTGATCTCTATAAGGTAGGGGTAAGGTCTGCCTACACACTACCCTCTCCGGACCCTATTTATGGGAATACACTAGGTATTTTGTTGTTGTTGATGTCTCTATATACATTGCTCATAGTTGTCGCCATTTCAAAAAAGCAGGGAGCATGGCAGCCATCTTTGAATATTTCAACTGTCTTAACAAGTATAGGTTTGTTACTGAGTGAACCAAATCCTGATGATGGGTTAATGCATGATGCGGTGAGTCAATATTCTTGCAGTGTGGGAATTGGTTCTAGAATCTACCCTGTTTGATTGTTTTAATACCTATTTGTGTGCAGAGCATGGAGTACAAATATAATAGACAAGCTTTTGACCAGAAGGCAAGATCAATGACTCAAAAGTATGCTAGGGCTGGAGCAAGTGATTTTGGTGGTCGTGACCAAGAAATCCAAACTCTTACAAATGCAAGAGAAGGACATGTAAGCAGATGTTTAGATGCACGTGGTTATGTTTATTACTTTTTTGACCAAAATCTCACACATGATCCCTACAGGTTGAAGCCAAAGAATCACATTTACCAAAATTTGAGGTCCCTGGTCATTTTGTAAACCATAAGAGTTTATGTGGACTCAGCAGAAAGTTGTCGCTAGACTCTGCTGGACGAGCACAAAGGCATAATGCTGAGACTGTGAGTGAAGTGCCTCTTGATCATATCTTAAATAAGCAGATGGAAGTTAGTAAACAAGCTATGGAAGAACTGCGTATTAAGAGTAACTCGAATCAGGATAAAGTACAAAAGAGCACCACGAAACCATCTTCAGAAATTGTTAGTCCATCTAAATTTAGGAATGATGAGAAGAAGGATAAAGAGAAATGTTCTACCAGCTTGGAACCCCAAAGTATTTTTCTGAATTATGCAGATATACAGCCATTGCCACTGGCTATAAGAAATTCTGGCAAAACTGCTAATCCAAATAATGACTTGAGAAATGTCAGCATGAACGAGAGTACAAATAAGCTGTTGGTAAAGTCAACTGATTTCAGCCAAAAAAATGAGGATCTTGGAAAATTGCAGTTCAAGCCTCAGTTCTCAGCCCAACTTCAGTCCACTGCATCATGTCATACTCTTTCATTGTCAAAGACCCCTGGTCATTACAATAAGCAACCTGACAAAAATGCTGCTGATCAAAACAGAAATGGTTTCTCCACAAGGCACAAGAAGCTGGGTTTAACTGGTAGGAGACATCCTTCCGGCACATCCAGTTCATCTCAACGTCCGCAGAAGGGTGACAAAGAGAACTTAGCCCCTTCTCAGGACCTACCCCTTTCAGGCTCTGACGCATGTATTGATTCAGCGTCCAGTTTATCTTTTACTTCACAAATTGGTGATTCTTGTGCTGCATCAACAAGGAAGTCATCTAATCCATGTGGGACATCCAAGAAGCTGCCACTAGAAACTGTAGAGCACTTTGGAGAGGGTAAGGACAATAGCTTTCAGATGACATCTCAATCTGGAAAACATTCCACAGCTCAAGTTAATCATCCCCTTTCGTGTGAGCAGCCCAACCAAGTCGAAGATGAATACTATAACAGGAACATCAAGCAACAGGAAAAAGAATCACCAAAATGTGAAGCAGTGATTGTGTTGGACAGTGAGGAAAGTGAAGATGAAAGGTCTCTTCATAAAAGGTCCAAGTTGTCGCTAGTTCGAAAACATGTGTCAGGTAAGCGAAAGGCTGAACTGTGGATTTGACTCCTCCTTTTGTGAAGTATTAATGCTGTGGACGTAGTAATATTTGAATACTATGATATGTCCTGTTGGTCCTTTCGGCCTTCTGCTGTCAAATTTTTGTCCTCTAATATCTTGGCCTAGTACTTTTAGGCATATTTCAAATTTCTGCCAAAGGAATATGACTTAATTACTTGGCATGGTTAAAAATTTGTGGCATACATGCTTTATTACAATTTTTTAATCCAATAACTCGAAATGTTAGAATTTTCATTTAAGGACCTTTACTTTCTCTTTTTTTTATATGTATAGGAAAAATAATAGTATGCGACTCTTTTTATAGTAGGAAACTTCTAACATGTTTGACATCATTTTATATTTACATATATTCTACAATTTTCAATAATTCAAATTCTAAATTTTGATGGGATGTTTCTCTATCAATTAACTTTTTAATTGCTGCTTTAGTATTCTTCTGCATTATCACTAATATATACGTAAGTCAAATTAATCCAGTAAAATACTGTCTAGTGAAATAAAACACCAAAACATTTTACAAATGCCAAATAGGGGCGTATAAGTGACGTTTTATTCTGGTCCACACATTAGACTTATGTAAATATCAGGTTATCAAACCTGTCCTCCATTTTTCTTTTTGAAAGATTTGTAGTTTTTTAGGTCCTCAATGATGGCAAGACGTAGTTAGAGTTGTTATTAATTCTAGGAAGCGCTCGAGTAAAATGACTAAAGAAGGGAAGGAGGAAGAGTTTTTCTTAACATCAAGAATTGTTACATAAATGGTTTGCTGCTTTTGAAAGAGCTCGGAGAAGAAGGGATGGTCCAACTAAAGAAACTAGGATAGAGAGCATAAGACGAGGAGCAGTAGATAAACACATGTTTGGTGCATCTTCATTTTTTCATATTTTTGGCATTCCTACCTCGTAAATGACAGCATTATGTACCGCCCCGCTTATTTTCCGACCAAATTTGCCCCTAAAGGGCTGCAAAACGAGTCAAACTTGGCTGCCAAAGACCAGAATGTCTTTGCACATGGAGGCAACAATCCGACAGGTTGTCCGGTCCCTCATGGAGGCCACACTCTGCCAGCAAAGTCACATGCAGCACAACTGGGCAGGACCACAGCCTGCCAGGACAATCATGGAAACAACTCACTGCCAGCAAAAGCATGTGCTGCACAGCTGGGTAGGACCACAGTCTGTCTGGGTGAACATGGAGGCAACTATCTGCCAGTAAGAACTGGGGCACAACAGTTGGACAAGACCATTGGCACATGGGCTGCCAACACATTCACAGAGATCACATGATGCCAGCACAAAGCAGTGCACTACAGCTGGACGGGTCCACAGCCAGCCTAGCTGCCTGGGGACATTCATTGTATATATAGACATGTATATGCCTTGTTAGAGGGCAGATCTCTTTACTTGTATTTCCTTCTTTTGTATATGAAGTAAACCCGAAAATTGGTCTTGGCCTCCCAATCTTTGTGTGTCTTTCATTTCATTATCCTCCAACCTTTGAGTTTGTGCGATTGCCTTGGTTCAAGCACGACATTGTGCTTATTTATTGGTTAGGACTGAAGCAAGAGTAGTAGTCATGCTATCTTGTTGTCCTCACGGAACACCCAGAAAACGGTCTCGTGACAATTGGTATCAGAGCGAGGTTAATTGACCATGACAACTGATGGAGATAAAGTTAATTTAGACAACATTCATGGGAGAGACGAGTCACCAACAAAGAGACAGAAACCAAAGAAGAGAGGGACGAGCAAAGCGCGAGATCCCGCCATAGCCATAACAAGCGAGGCGCCAGTTCTTGAGCTACCCCACAACATGTTGGCCGTGGTGAAGATTGTGAGGCTTCTACCTCAAATCTCTTAGGCATGAGAATGGATCTCACCAAAGCTGGTTTAGATGCTTTAAATCGGCACATGCAAGTTGTTGAACACAACTTCAGCTCGCTTGAGTCTACTACCCTAGATGGGCTAGGAGACGTCAAAGAGACGTTAGATCAAGTGATTGATGAGAACAAGGAAGGACTGACCAACCTTGAGCTTAAGCTGACCGAGGCTGTATCGGCGTTGCACAAGGAAATTGAAGCCCTAAAGCAACAACTGCAGGCAGCAAGGTTAGCCGGTGGCACTGGACATGTAACAGTGCGTGAAACCAAAATCGAGGGCCCAAAACCGAAGGAGTTTATGGGCAAACGAAATGCTCAAGATGTAGAGAACTTCATCTGGAAGATGGAAGACTATTTTGAGCACCTTAGCATCGTTGATGAGGCTGCCAAGATCCGGGCAGCAACGATGTATCTTGCCGACACCGCTATGCTTTGGTGGAGGAGGAAGAAAGTCGACATGGAGAAGGGAACTTGCTCCATCAAGAGCTGGGAACAGTTCAAGTTCGAACTGAAGCGCCAGTTCTACCCCAAAAACGTTATCAACGAGGCACGTAGGAAGTTGAGAGAGCTCAGGCAAACAACTTCCATTAGTGACTACGTGAAGGAATTCACTAAACTCATCCTGCAGATTCCGAACATGGTAAGCAATGACTTGCTATTCACCTTCATAGATGGCCTTCAAAATTGGGCCAAACAAGAATTGCAGCGGTGCCAAGTCCAAGACGTCGATGAAGCTATTGCGGTGGCTGAGTCCTTAAATGATTATAGGACAGAAGCCACAAAGGCAAGGGACACAAACTTCCAACCTAATGGAGACCATGGACATCGAGACAAGGGTAAGCAAGTTGCTGCCCCAGACTACGATTCCAAAGAATGAGGCAACAAGTAGTCTCATTGGTGCGACTGGTATAATTAACGGAAGAAGGAAGTTGGTCCCTGCAATGGTTGTTACATCTGCAAGGACACTAGTCATTGTTACAAGGATTGTCCTTCTTTGAAGATACTCGGTGCCTTAATTGTAGCCGAGCGGAGTCTAACAGAGGAGAGAGTCCAAGTTGATGAAGAAGCCGAAGCAGAAGTTCAACCGCCGGGCATAGCTCATCTTGGCAACATGATACTAGGCGCGGTAGTAGCCAAAAAGCCTGCTTTGAAGCAAGCTGCCCAAGGGAAGCATGACATTGCCAAACTGGTTCACTCGTTAGGCGACAATGTGATTGGCAAACAACCCCGATCGAGAGAGACAGGATCCCTGTTCGTGGATCCAAGATTGAACGGACAATCTGTCTGTATCATGGTAGACACCGGTACGACACACAACTTTGTGTCCGAAGCAAAGGCTAAGTCTCTTGGCCTTGCGTTTGGTCCTAGCAGTTCCGTGCTGAAGACGGTAAACGGTAAACGCCAAACCCACGAACGTGAAAGGTGTTGCCCGCAATGTATAGTTTAACTTAGGAGCTTGGTAGGGAAATGTGAGTTTCTTTGTCGCTTCCCTGGATGTGTTTGATCTGGTATTGGGGCTGGACTATTGGGATGAAGTGAAGGCCTTCATCTGCCCATATCTCAACCAGATCTGCATTTATGACCTGAAGGGTCCATGTGTGGTACCGACAGTTCGGGTGCGCAAGTTGTTAGTCAGTTGTCCACGATTCAAATCGTGAAAGGCTTCAAAGAAGAGGGAGCAACGGTTTTGGCAATCGGGACAGAGGCTAAGGAGGTCAAGGTGGACGAAGCCTTGACTCCATGTGATCAAAAAGTCCTTAAGGAGAATAAGGACTTCATACCGTGGGCGAAGCCGCCTACATGGCACCTCCAGAGTTGGAGGATTCAAGGAAGCAACCTCAAAAGTTGCTTGGGTCGGGGCATGCCAGTCCGTCAAAGGCTCCTTGTGGAGACACGGGTGATATAGAGAGGAGGCAATCCAGCCGACTAAATATTTTCGTAACTCCTTCGGTCATCGACAAGGAAGTCGAGGCCATAATCAACCATCGGGTGGTATGAGGAATAGATTGGGGCAATTCAAGCGCCCAATTTCTTGTCTGTTGGAAGGGGCAACCACCAGAGGAGGCATCGTGGGAAAAATATGAGGCTCTCTGGCCGTTCAAAGATCAAGTTCACGATTACTTGAATCGTTGTGACGCTGCGGTCGTCGCCATTTTAAGTGGGGGAATACGTATCGCCCCGCATATTTTCCGACCAAAATTTGCCGCCTAAAGGGCTGCCAAAGACCAGAAGGTCTTTGCACATGGAGGCAACAATCCGACAGGCCCTTCATGGAGGCCACACTCCGCCAGCAAAGTCACATGCAGCACAACTAGGTAGGACCACAGCCTGCCAGGACAATCATGGAAGCAACTCACTACCAGCAAAGGCATATGCTGCACAGCTGGGTGAGACCACAACCTGTTTGGGCGAACATGGAGGCAACTATCTGCCAGCAAGAACTAGGGCAGAACAGCTGGAAAAGACCATTGGCACATGGGTTGCCAACACATTCATGGAGATCACATGATGCCAGCACAAAGCAGTGCACCACAGCTGGACGGGTTTACAGCCAGCCTAGCTACCTGGGGACATTCATTGTATATATAGACATGTATATGCCTTGTTAGAGGGCAGATCTCTTTACTTGTATTTCCTTCTTTTGTATATGAAGTAAACCCGAAAATTGGCCCTGGCCTCCCAATCTTTGTGTGTCTTTCTTTTCATTATCCTCCAACATTTGAGTTTGTGTGATTGCCTTGGTTCAAGCACAACATTGTGCCTATTTATTTGTTAGGACTGAAGCAAGATTAGTAGTCAGGCTATCTTGCTGTCCTCACAGAACCCCCAGAAAACGATCCCATGACAATTAGTTTGTATTGGTTTCTGAGTTCCCTAATCCTTGGTACTTTCCACTCACAAGATTAGAGTTTTTATGTTTAAGAACGTATGTGTTGAGCTCATTATTCACGTCTATAGTGAATTTAGAGGTATTCGTCCAAAATGCATCCATTCCCATCAATAGTAGAATGTAGATGATGCGTAGCCAATCCCTTGTAACTTGTTTGACCATCTGTAAAATAACCCCTCGTCTTTACAAAAATATCAGAACCCTTCCTACATGCTACTGTCTTTTCTTTCAAGCACACTTGTCATGACCCAAAATCTCCCCCAAGGTTGTGACTGTAAAGCCTTGTAAAAATTTTCAAAAGAAAAGAAATAATGTTTCGTGGTGCCTAATTGGTTTTATGTGAGCGAGCCGCGGCTCAGACGTTTTGCGTTGAACAATGCACCGGAAAATAAAGGAAAACTTTTGGCAGAAAAATGCATTTCTGCGATCCATAATGCGACCGCGGAATCACTCTGTGGGCCGCATA